ACATGGTTTAACTTTGAATCCAAGGGAACTTGTGCTTTCCTTCTCTTATTGATTAGTGCATTTAATAAGGGCTTTCATTAATCAACATGGCTTGAGAAGAGCTGATCTGTTTCCATGGAGCTGAGCAAATCCTGCTATATTCAATACCAGTGATGATGCTCAGGCTCATGTCAGGGATGTTCAGGGATGAGAACTGGAAATATAAAAGGGGGAAAAAAATCATTCCTAAGTAACAGATTTTTTGCTTGTTTGTTTTGTTTAACAGAGCTTTAAAAATAATAAATAACCTAAGTAAGTTAATTTCCAGTAAACACTCTGATGTCCACCTTTCAGACTTAGTCATCACAGGAGGTAGTATCACAGGCAGAATCTGTTAGAATTATTCCACCCATAGTACTAGCAGCTTCTCAGATGGGACTTCATACCCCCATGTTGGGAACTACCTAAAGTATAGTAACATCATTTATAAGGGAGCTCATGAAAGACTTCAGGAGCAGCAATACCATCCTTCTTAGAAAAGCATTAACTCCTGGAGCCAGGGTTTATATAATTAACAACTGTGAAACAAAATGAAATGTTCAAGTTATTTGCTGTACATATTCCAGTATCCAGATGTTTGGCACTATGTATACAAAACATCCATATGATTGACTGAAAATTTAAGTATTTGTCATTATATTTGGTATGGTGTTAACACAGCTTCTTCTGAAGAGCATATTTTTAGAACTTCTTTATTCATCACCCTGAAAAGTAGGTAGTCTAGCAAGTGCTTTTTTTAAAGTGGAAAACACACACACACACACACACACACACACACTTTCAAGAAAAGCCATGCCATATTCAATTAAAGAATATATTCATTATTGAGCATTTTTATTTAGATTCCTTCATTTTATATACTTCAAAGAGATTCTAAGATCATTAGCTGCTAAAATGTTCCATTGGGAAGTCCAGAGAAGAAAAATATTATCTGAGTTTGCCATCAGGGAAATGTGGCTTCATTCTGCCCATTAGTGATCTGACTGTTCTCACTTTACCAAGCCTCTCCTTTGGACTCCATTTTGAACAGGAAGAATGCTTTACCCCGTTATACAATCCACCACTGGTTAAGAGTGAAGACAAGCTTGGTGATTTTTTTTTTAATAGCAAGGATAGTGGAAGAAGACGGTCATTATTATACAAAATACATGTATGAAGATTTGAATTTGGTGTCAACATACCTTATATACAAACAGAGATATGATAAATTGTGGTATAAAGGTGTATTAAGAATTGTGATGCAAAAAAATAAGAGCTTATGTATAATGGCATAATTTGGAATGAACATACTCTGTATACAGAGTTACAAAAAATTGTGCTGTGAATGGATAATTATGAATATAATGAATTCCACTATTGTCATGTATGTAAGAAATAAATTAAAAAATTACTACAAAGAAAAAGAGTGAAGACAAAGTTTTGACCAAGTCATAACCAATTATTCCCTTTGTTTTTTCATCTTTTAAATAAAGATAATAGTGGCATCTGACTCAAAGAGTTATGTGAGGATTAAATTAGACAATAAAAGCAAAGTGGCTAACATAGTGCCTGACACATACTATGCAGAATGTCCAGAAGTTTAAAGGAACTCTAGAAGTGTAGTCAGGTGGTGTAGCTTTTTCTTATTTTAAGTACCTATTTAGCGGTATATATGATTTGCTCATTCATCTATGTCATATAGCAGTTATTGTTTGTGTTACAAATATTTTCATTTAATTATATGCTATTATAGTTCATGTAGGTGTAGTCCTGCTTTCCCAACTATGTTGCACTTGATAAATTTTTATATACTTTACTAAATTATTACTTTTTTCAATTATGTCTTACTTTTGCCTTCATTCAAGCACTCAACACACGTTTATATTTATTGTTCATTATGTATATAGGTCCTTGGAATATACGGACAAGCAAATAACACATTCCTGAGTCATCTAGCTGAGAGAGGAAGAAAAAAATCAGTCAAGTAAATATGGTACCAAATGAAAGTTGTGAGAATAATGGTTATTTCTGCTATTTAATATCTTAGTTATCTTGATGAAGACCTAAATCAGAAAGGAAACAAATTGTGCAGAATTCTGGGGGAGGGAGTTTCAAGCAGAAGAAACAGCCAGTGCAAACTAAGCATGCACACCTGGCTGTTTGGAAACACACCTAACAGATTGGTCTAGAGCAGAGTGGAAGAGAGTGGAGAAGACAAGGGTAGGAGAGCCTCAAGGACAGGTTGACCACCAGCTGGATTGTGTGTTCTAATGAATGAAACAGGCTGGGAGTTGTTGATGATCTGATTTAAACTCTAAAAGTTTCATTCTGTTTATTGTGGGAAGAAGAGACATGGATGTAATATCATGGGAAGGAGCCAGAGACTCTTAGAGACCCTCAGAATGATCCAGTTGGAAGAATGATGATTTAATAACCTCATTTTCACTCCCTGTTCTCTATGAGGGCTATTCATGAACATGCTTTCTCATCCTTTTTTACATTATAAATTCTGCATGGACTAGGAATCCAACAGATTTATATGTTGAGTCTCATTCATGTGGTATTTCTAATGTATGTCTTGAAAAATATTGGGATAGGACCAATGACCATTGTAAAATAGAGTTATCCTCCTCAACGAGACATAAAGGACTCCCTTTTGTTTTCCCCCACAGTGCAGTAGTTAAGTTCTATTCTTCTGTGATGACCTTTGGCATGCCAAAACAGGGGAATAACCTTATGCTAAGACTTGCTGGTTATTCTCTTAACCAATGTCTTCCTCTACACCAGCATAAAAGTAAAGCTGCTACTGTCTCTAGGGAAAGGGAATCACCCAGCAGAGTGCTCCGAATCACACTTCCATGGTAAAATATCCATTAATAATTAATTTTCTGCTTCTTTTAGAATAGGACAGGTTAAGCAGTTGGTCACATTCAGTAAATAAGAAATTACTTGCGGTAATATCTGCAACATTCTAATCATCTTCCCATTTCTGAAACCCATTTAAAAAGTCTTTGATCTGCATTACAGTGGAAAGGACATTGAATGTGGAAAGAGAAGACTTGATTATAAATTCAACTTTGCCACCCACTAATAATGTGGCTTGGGAAAGTCTTTTAACCTAAACATCTCTATTTGTTTTCCAGTGATTAAGGGCAAAGACGTCCATATCCTACTGGGCTGTAATGAGTACCCAATATGACAAACTGCAAAGGCTATGAATGCAGCAGTCACACAATAAACACTTGATGAACCCAGATGCTAAATGACACAGTCCTACACATGGTATTTAGAGCTCTACTCTACAGCAGCGCAAATGTGATCTTGCAGAATGAGGAATATGGTCCCCTCTATCTTCTTTCTGCATATCATTTAAAATTACAATATACTGTAATTGTTCAATTATATCATTAAAGGGGTTTCATTTTCTTCATTAAATACTCAAGGAAAAGCTTTTCAATTAACAATGACCTTTAAGACTTCTACTAGTTGGGATTCTGTAGACGGTGAAGCTGTCTACAAATTAGATTCTGCAGTGTACCTTGCTGCTTACTTTTTCACCCAGTGATTAGTTTCATGCAGTTGGCAGCAGCCTGCCCTGTTGCCTTCAGCTTGCAATTTTGCAGCAATCTCAAACACTGTGTTCAATCCCCCAAGGTATTCTGTGGAAATGCTGTCAAAGTATTTCAATGTATGTGTGTTTTCATTCTGTAGCTGTGCTTTGTACTCATTTAAGAAAACCAGTCTTTAATTTGTAACAGAACGTTTTCAAGATGAAACATAGAATTCTAGTCCTCAGCAAAATCACTGGCATATGACCACAGCCTTCTGTTGTAAATCTTCAAGTGCTTGACTGCTATTAGATACAAAGCTGTATTTTCGAATCTTGTTATAGAATGTGACTTTGAGTAAATGGTTTCAAAATTAGACTTAAAATATACAAATTGCTATTATGCTTGCCATCATCATATGGCTGGTCCCTCTTATCCTATATCCCTTGCTTTTTTGTGCTTTCATGAAACACCTCACTCCCTTTCTTCTACCTGGTGTTACCCACATGTCACACCTCTGTTCACAGTGCCCTGTCCTCCAAACCCCTCAGGGACTTCCTTTTCCAGAAAAGCTTTTTCTACATTCCCAAACCCCTTTCCTGGGTCCAGCAACCCTTTCTTGTCTCCAATGTGTCTGTACATGATATAATAAAAATACTCTCTTCTGTATAGTAATAATTGATTACTCAACTAGTTTTCCTTAGTAGTCTCAAACTTTTACAGAGAAATGGTAGTAGTACCTTTTGAATCCATAAATAAGTACTTATAAATATATTTCAGAATAAATGAATGCTTCCTAGAAAAACTATTGGACAGTTTATTGAAAAGACAGTAAAAATTTGCTCCTGAAAGTATTATATTAGCTTTGCTACATTTAATTAAGACAGCCATCGGTAAAAGCAGTTTACAGTTTTATCAATAAAATGCAGTTTATAGTTTCTGGGTACAGGCTCACCACTGAGCAATTAAAAATAATAATAACACATGTGACATTATTCTATGCTTTTTACATCTGGTTCATTATATTCAGAATTGGAATAAATCAAATCCATCTAACTCAGAGACCTTTACTACTGCTCATAATTTCAAACAAAGAAATATGTTTTAATGCAGAAAATTGGTATTTGAATTAATTCTACTTCACTCAGATTTGTTAGGACTTTTCATCCAGACAGGATAAAAAAGGAGTTTGATTGTCCAGTTAAATACATTGAAACACCTGCCCCCCCCACACACACACACAAATGTATGCAGGTATCGTTAACAGATTTGCATTGGGAATGGAAGTTGTATCAGTATCATGTCTCCTGAGTTTGATGTTTGCATTTGATGTTGTGCTATTATTCAACATTTGGAAATAACACTCAGACCAAAGATAATGTTGTTTCTCATTTTCACTTTGATTAATAGTGTTCTGTCTTTGGTAATTTTTAGGTGTTATTTGGAAGATGGAGCTTCAAAGGGTGCCTGGCTGAACCGATCAAGTATTATTTTTGCTGGAGGTGATAAGTGGTCAGTGGATCCTCGAGTTTCCATTTCAACATTGAATAAAAGAGATTACAGCCTCCAGATACAGAATGTGGATGTGACAGATGATGGCCCATACACATGCTCTGTTCAGACTCAACATACACCGAGAACAATGCAGGTGCATCTAACTGTGCAAGGTAAGCCTTTCCAGAGGTGCTGTATTGTGAAGGACTGTATTTTAAAATGTTTAGTATTTAGATATCAAAATGAAACATAAGTAACAATATTGAAAGATATGCTGTCATTGTCTTCAGAAAATTATATTCCTAAACACCATTAAATGTAAGGGTATTGTAGGCATAGAAATCCCCAAAGATCAAGAAAATCAATATCCGTTAATGCCAGATGATGATTTTTGTATGTTTACTTCATAACTTCCTTTGAATAATCTCTTCTATAAATCTTCAAGAACCAATATTTAATACACTAAAATAGGTATTTGAAAACCTATGATAAATATATATTGAAATATTAAACTTATAGTTTTTTATCTGAATATTTATATAGATTAGTGGATTTCATTTTGACATATTTATATATTCATAAAAACAGATTTTGATTAGTTACACTTCCCAAACCTCCCTTACTATTCTTTCCCCACTTCCCCTGACCCTCTTCTTTTATCCTAAAGGTCTCCCTTCTACTTTCATTGAATTTCCCACTTTTTCTTCTTTTTTTTTTCTCTCTAGCTTCCACATATGAGAGAAAATATACAATACTTTTCTGAGTCTGACTTAGATTGCTCAAAAGCATGGTCTTCAATAAACTTTTTGAAATATGATGGTAACTATTTAAAAGCAGTTCTCTTAGCCTCCAAACACTTTTTCCATCCAACTTCTGTTTACATTGATTCAAAGCACAATGAAAAGTTGCAGTGTTCTAGAATTACTTTATTTCAACATTGAGTAATTGAAAAAAATATGTGCACAATGCTTTACACTTAGATTTACTTTCAGTAGATCATAAATCATGTTAGCTAACTTATAATCTCCAAATGCAAACAGAACTATCAAATTATTTTGCTTCTGTTGCATACTAAAATGTAAGAGCTACATACCCCCAATTTTAGTACATTTCAAGAAATGTGCAATTATAATGCTAGGAAACCGGAAAATGTATATTTTTATTGCCCTTTACATTATTTACTTGTGCTCTATAGATTAATCATGTGTTGATTGTATAGAAATATTATGCTCTATGGAATTCAAAAATAGCATTGCAATATTTCTAAGTAAAATTAATAACAAATTCTATGATAATGTGGTGCCAGTGCTTGCATGCTTAATGCCTAATGGAAAAAAATTGAGGGAGCAACTTTGTTGTACTTCTCTGAGTTTATCCTTCAATAATTCAAGGGTAAAATGTAATTTAAATATAAGACTTAAATTTGGAAAAAATAGCCTATAATTTTTCTGATTTGATCTCTGTTGTCTTATGTAAAAATAAAATGGAATGCAAACACAACTTAATTTTTATTTTTTTTAAAGAATGAGAGAGGAGAGAGAGAGAGAGAGAGAGAGAGAGAATTTTTAATATTTATTTTTTTTACTTCTCGGCGGACACAACATCTTTTGTTGGTATGTGGTGCTGAGGATCAAACCCGGGCCGCACACATGCCAGGCGAGCGCACTACGGCTTGAGCCACATCCCCAGCCCCACAACTTAATTTATTAATATGTATTTTTACAATGTGATGAGGTTAAACTTCTTAATTAAATGATTTGATTTAAGGAAAAAAAGTATAAATTGAAAATAAATCAATGAAATTCCTCAATATTTTTTTTGACGCCGATTGTCACATATTGTAGTGCTGAAAATTATTATAAAGTGTTGTATAAGAATATGATAAAGTTTTTACAGGACTCTATCTTTATTCAGAGATTATTCTGGGACTCCAAAGGGCAAGAGTTTGTCCAGCTTGAAAAACTGACATGAGATTACAAGACACAAATACATTTTTCTGTTATCCACATGTAATCTGTTCTCTTGTTCAGTTCTTTGCCTTTTGACCTGAGTTTCTAGACCAAAGACTACAAAAGATTTTTATTATCTGAGGGGAAAAAATGGGCATAGACAAGATATATTTGAGTCATTTAAGATACAGACATTTTGCTGGTACACTGTAAATTTATAGGTTTAAGTACTGCATCTCTGAATACTAAATACGTCCTCTTTTTCTTTTTCCATTCTCTCTTTTTCCATGCTAAGTATCTATTTTTAAACCAGACTGTGGGATATAAGTCTTTCCCAGGCACATGTTTAATTGTCATAGGACTTTGTTTTAACTATATGTTATATAGACTGATTAATGCAGTTAATAGTTTAAAAATGACTGCATGAGTTACTATGGTAATAGTCACTTTTGCTGGCCATTTGGTGATAGTGAACATTTGAGCAGTTAAAAACACCCTTTGTGAATGTTCTGTCAGTATATTTTGTTCCTCTAGAAAAAAAACAAAAATTCAGGCTACTGTTTTGAAAGTATGTGGTGGGGTCAAATTAAAAGCTAATAATTTTACAGCATTTATGAACATAATTACTTATTATAAGTTGATTGGCATGTGGGCTATTTTCCAATTACATTAATAAAGTTCAGGGAATACATTAATAGGCTTGTCAGTCAATTCAAGAACTAAATAAATGTCATAAAAAGTCAGTCCCACTTAAGCTACATTTCCTCTCAAGGAACAAAAATAAACTGATGTGCACATTTCCTCAGTCTCTAATGTGTTACGCTGTCTGATACTCAGGTATATCTGGATAGTTTTGAAGCACATGCTCTTTGCCTAACAATTTGTCAATCCTTTATTCACCAAGATAAAGAAACTCAGCAATTGAGGGAAGACCGTATTAATCACTGATTGTCAAACATACATTGACTGGTAAAAACACAGCTCATCTTCAATTGTTGCAACTGTGTACTCCAGGGAGCTAGTTTTTCAAAAATCTTTTTAGAAAAGGAAGAACAAAGCGGTTATCTTGCCAACACAGACAATGTGGAAGTTTGGTGCTATTGATTTCTTATAGCTATTTAATATAAATGAATGGAGTAATCGGGAAGGAAAACACTAGAGTAGAAGTCAGAAAACCTGGATTCTAAATTTTCCCTCAAAAATGAGTAATTTTCAAGTCTCTCTTAACACTCATTCTTTCCAATTGAAATGACTTAAGCAGATCTTTAAGTCAAAACTCAAAAGCAAAACAACAAAAACCCATAAAGAAAACAAATAAAAACAAACAAAAAGCTACTACTGTTATTATTTGCCTTAGATTATAAAAAGATAAAAAAGATGCTAAAAAATGAAAAATTTCATAACTTTCATTGAGCATCATGCTAACTAATGTTTGCACCTGACCTCCACTAATATTTACATATTTCTTTACATAGTTTTCTTTCACCATCTGAGCCCAACAACCTATGCACTCATGGAATTTGTAGAATGTAATAATTTGGGGTTTGGCTTTAAGATGGCAGTAACTTGCTAACATATTCAGGAAGAAAATTAAATGTGTGTGTGTGTGTGTGTGTGTGTGTGTATTTAGTGTTAGTAAATTGAGTTACCTAACTATTCAGTTTCAAATCATGTGATGCAACCTTTACTAAGGGCAATCAATCTT